TCTTTGCCACATCAACTGGGTTCGACATCACCTCATCTGGAAGGCCCGAAGCATCTTCCGAAGGCTTGGATTGAGACTTGTTGATTGATGGATTGCCACATGACTGATCTAGTCACTACCGTGCAGATGTGTGAGACGTCCCTCTACGATACTGTACTTTGGGATCCCTCGCTACGTTATTCATCTCAGGTGATGCACGGGTTTGTCACCACCTTCAGAGAGAAAGGGGGAGAAAAGATAACATGATGAGTGGGTCAACACGAAGCATGGCCATCTCACTGCTGGGCTGTGCACAGATGCGATGAAGGCCGCGCCAAAGCTGGAGGAGAGGTGCAAGGGCACCTTTCAGTCAAAGAGAAGCTCGGAGTGGATTCAATCAATCGTTTTGATATGTGTGTGCATCTGTAAGCTAAACGCGCTTTGCAATATACACTGCTTTCCTGGCACTGCTCTTCAGACAATTCCCCAACCGGTTCACAGGCCCAAAAATAGCGGTGCCTGGCCAAGAAACAACCTGACCCTAAATTATATAAACTGACCAGACAAGACTGACCAGAAAAGAATCCGACTTTATAAAGGGTCCTCACATCAAGGATCCGCTTATGAACTGGTGCCCTTGACGATCTGAAATTTTCTGCATCGTCCTGGGCTTCTGGCACCCTCCTTCATGTGCAGGTAGTCCTCAGTGCTCAAGTTGTTTTGTTCACTGGATATTGATGACTCAAAACAAGCAGTCAGGAGAAGGCGAGTGCACTCCACCGGGCCTGGTGAAGTCAGATGGTGCCGGCCATCTTGGTGAAATTGTGAGACCCTTTGCCATCGTTGCTCGTATCCAGGACTTTACTTATGGCTTATGGGGCTTTCGTGCCGCTGGACAGCGACCCTCCTTCCTCTGCATTCCCGAGACTGGTTTATCCAGCCAGCATCAATCCAAGCTGAAAGTGCCAAGCGTCTACGAAGAGCTCCTTGCACGTGTCATAGGCAGCTAGCTGGCCCACGGTGATGATGGTCGCCTAGGCGCGTTGCCTGTGGGACCATAAATGCCAAACCCTGATTCACCAGAACTACCGAAGTTGAGCAGTGACAAGAAGCTACTAGGAGCAAAGGGCATCGCTTCTAGTAACAAGTGCCTTACTAGTAGTAACAAGAAATCTAGGACCAAATCACTAGTGCGAGCGTGAGCTATCATGCATCCTGTTCCTAGGAGCTTCCTATTGCGTAGCATGTTTACTTAATTAAGTAGGTGCCGAGTTAATTAATTTAGGAGGCAGGCCACTTGGGCTTTAAAAAGAGGTCAATGGTATAGATGAGTTGGTCAATGGTATAGATAAGATATATATATCTTGCTTTAGTCTTCATAGTCTTTATAAATCTATATATATATACCGTATATTTTTTGTTCCCAGTGACTGGGCCACATGCATGGCCTTATCAAGCTTTCAAGCCAAAGCGCTCGGTTCATGTTGGGAATAACTCCGGTTCGCCACATAGATAGCACGCCTTCTTGGCTAGCAATCTTGCTGACCTCAGGGGGCAAAGTTCAGGAGATTGCAGGAGAATGCACTCCACCGCAGAAGCTCAGCCCGGCACTGCATCGAAAATGTTTTTGTACCCGCGACCTTCACAGACCCCCAAAATACCAAGCAAATCCAATAGCCCAATGGAGATGTTTTCTTTGTCACACCAATGGTCTCAGGCACTCACGCTGCTCGGGTGGGAGCTTGCCGTCGGCCTCCACCACATGATCAACAATACTTGCTCATCGTGTCCGAACCCCTCCACTTAACCCTTCGCCCATAGAGCAGGTGTTGGGGAGATTTGAAACACACGCAATGTCGTGTGGGAGGCGGAAGTGTCAAAAATATTGGCATTGTAGGTGCAAATTGCGGCATCTCTTTATAACATGTGTCACAGACATGGTCTGGGTCCGAGTGGAATTGTGGTTTGCCAGCCTTTTCCCTCAAGCAACAAACTAAGCCTACTACTGCGCCTTTCCTTGCTCACAGGTCATGCAATGGTGCTGCCGGTTGTGAAGAGGGGATCCTTTGAAATGTCCATCTACTCCTTGAGGCAGCTCTTTTCACATCGATCGGGAGCACCCCTGCCTGCATGCGGACCATTGCCAGGTCACCAGGATTGCCAGCAAAGGCACCAGTGGCCCCCGCCACGGCTGCGCAAACCACCTCTGGCCATGATGTTGTCATTGAAGCTGCTCGACTCACCCACAAAAGGATACAATTTCCGACTTCAATTGCCAAAAATGTTCTTCACCTTGCGCCAAATGACTAGTTAGAGTTAGAGCTGGGAAGGTTGGAGAGTGTCAGTGTGTCAATTGCATTCGCGCCTTTTCCACCGTAGTCAGTGGCCTCTCGGACTCTCCACAAAATCCCTGTCCAGCATTGCACCATTCAGGAGCCATTGAATGAACGAAGCACAAAGCAGCAATCTTTCGCCAAGTGAGCAAGACCGACCTTGAGCATGTCATACATCCCAAAGCGCACCTTACATCAAGTAAAACATCACTGAAAGTTAAGAAAATAAGGGAAAATTGGCAACGCATTCATGATATAGCAAAATAAGGCGAATGCTTCAAAAAAATCGAGAAGATCGAGAAATCTCTGCCGCCCAGTTGCGCCGCTGTAGACCAGCTGCCGTGCCATTGAAGCATCGACACCCTTGAAGAGGCCCAACGGGCCCTCGTTGCGTACAATGTGAGGGCCCATCCTCAGGAGGCCGCTCGTACAACCATGGGGCCATCATGGACCATGACCATGGTGGACCATGATGGGCCATGGGGAGTCCGTTTCGGTGCCTTTCTTGGAGCCCAACCAACCGGAATGTGGATCCAGAGGTGTGGAAGCAATCGGGAGCATCTGAAACCCTGTCAAAATAGGTGAGCACATGAGTAGCGGAACAGGCAGAACAGCCCATTTTGCTGTCCTCAACCAGCACCTTAGGCCTTAGGTCATTGAACACTCCCATGTCAATGTTGGTCAAACCCTGATGGTGGACTTTGTTGCTGACATAGCCACGGGCTCTCCTAAGTACAAAGGGAAGCAAGCCAAGCAAGCAATGGTTGGGCTTCTCAGCTGAACGTCCTATATTGGCCCTTTGAACTTTGAGTCCGAGCTGCTGGAGCATATTGAGTTTGGTCCCTTCAGCCTGAAGCTGCATTCTGACCTCCACAAAGCGGCCCGGAGTCACAAATTGAGTATATGTGCGGCGCATTTATTTGGTACAGTACTAAACTCAATTACACTAAGACTATCTATTATGGGTGGGCTCTATCTCGTTTAGACTACTTAAGTAGAAGGTCATGTCACAGTATCTCGTTCAGATTACTTTAAACTACTTGGTGTCAAGAAGCAAAACTATCGCGTTTATGTGGGGGCCCTATCTCGTTCACAAGCGAATACTGGTGATAGACAAGCAAATAGAGCATGCCGTAGACTACTTTAGTAAAAGCCTAAATAAAAGTGGGTGCTCATACGGGTCTGAAGCTGAAACCCTGGATCTACTGTACAGCAATCGAGCCAATTTGTGGTGCTCCAGCACCTCTTTCTACAGTAAATTGTGCAATCAGTCCACCAAGGTCAGATTCCCACAGCTTCAAAAGAGGAGGGATTGTAACCATGACACGGTGCGCGGGAACCCCAGCAAAACAAGCAAGAACCACAACAAAAGGTCAGGCAAGCACCATGAAAAGAGCTAAACATCCTCCATCCTTAAGGTGCCACTAAGTACTGTTAACGTTTACAAAACTCCTTTAAATGTGTACTACCTGTCTGTATATGTATTTATACTATTATATATATATATTATATACGTAGCCAATTATGTGTGTGTGTGGATGCTTCTATCTACAGTATGTGAATAATATGCCTGTTTTTGATGTTTTTGTATATATTTGTATTGTTGTTTCACCGTGCATCATCGCCTTGGAAGAAAGTCAGACTGCCCTTGTTACCTTCACGGTGTCCTCTGCTTTCTCTCTCATACCGCTCTCTTGCACTTCAAGTTCCTGAAAGGATTTGCAGTTACCTGGTCACACATCGACAGGAGTCGCAGCCAGGGACTGAACCGTGGCAACTGTTCTGGGCACAGGCGGGGGCGTCTTTCAAATACCTACCGAAGTTCCTAATTCAAAGGAGGATTCAAAGACCTAATCGACCAATCGCCATTTGCTTGCTGTCCGGTTCATCCGTCGCCTGTCTTCTACCTTTTTTGGAAAGTACAAGTACGTCTTTCCACTTTTTTGAAGCCATGCAAAGCCAGGATTGCTATACTTGCAGGTGAGCGCAGCATGACAATTCCGGGGGCTAGACACCAATTCAAACAAGACTAGCCATAGGGAGCACTAATATCGCTAATCAGGATGTGGGCGAAAGACTTGCGGCAGCCCTGCGACTGGAGTGTGGTGGGACTACGGATGCAGCGGGCTGCGGCCATGGGCATTTTTCCCCAACCGGCAGTGGACGGGGTCTAGATCAGCAAACCATCTTAATCACTGCCTTGTCATCTGAATTGGCTGTCTTTGCTGCTAGTGTCATGTTAATCAGGAGCTTGCCGTCTTTGCTGCTGCCCTCTCATGCGATCAAGCCTTCTTTGGCGTCACAACACCGTCCGAGCTTCCCCACCTTGATGAGGTCCAAGGGATGTGCACAGGCGCCCCCGATGGCAGCACCCACAGATCCCTGAAAAAAGCCCTGCAACAGAACGGAGCACCAACTGCAAGCATGAAAACTGGCCCCGAAACATCTTCAGAATGGTCCAATCGAAGACATGTCTTCCTTCCTTGTGCGAGGCATGGCGCTCCAAACTCTCACAGCGAACAGCTCGCCTTCCATATCTGCGAGTTCTTGGACTTTGTCTGGCCAGCGGGGGTTCGAGGCAAACGTGCCTCCATGCCCATGTGGGGTGCCTGGGAAAGCGCTGGGGAGGAGATTGCTGCGTGTACTGTACAGCGTACAGCAGCTGGAAATTCTTATTTCAGAATCCAGCCGCAAAGTTGGACTTGGAAGAAACTGAGACATCTGAGACTAGTGTCAGCCTTGGGACATCTTGCACTGATGAATCTAGCCCATTCGACGGAACCATGCGACTGGACAGGCACAGCATTCCCTTTTTTCAATAATCGACCCAAGCGCACCTCTTTGCTGTCGGCCGCCATGGCTCCTGAAGAGAGCAGAGAATTGTTAGCGTCCATTCCATGCTACCGTGCAGCTTCACCAATTAGGTAGCTTCAACTTCAACTTGTTCAATTTGGGATCGCCGGTGCGCAATTGGACTGCAGCACAGATGTGCTGAAATCGGCATCTACCTAGGATGGTAAGTTTTTTAAACTATATACAGGATTAGACTCACAATGCCCCTCACCCTCCAAGTTGAGCACCCCGGCCTGGGATGATTGAATGGCTTTGCTCTTCGGGTCGAGCCAAAATCTATCCGAAACAAATCCCTGCAGACACCTCAATCAACTTAACTTCTACGATTAATATCGATTAATCCGACATTGCCACCTGAAACTGGAAAAAAAGCCTTGCGGCTTTGCCCGCCACAGCCACTTGGTGCTATCCCAAGCTCAGCTCTGTGCAGCAGCCCGCACATCGGCCACTGGGTCCAGAAGCCCTCAGCTGTATGGTGACTGTATAGCACTCGGCTTCTTCTCCAATCGCTTCTAGGTTGGAGGCCATCTCTAATGGGTTGGAGGCCATCCCTACTAGGTTGGAGGCCATCGCTATTAATAGGAGTTGGACTGAATTGCTTTCTCCAATTTCACACGCATCCGTCCTGCGTCGAACTGCGAGGCTGGGCGCAATACGTTCCAGGAGCCCCTCGGTGGCGCGTAGCAAGATGTCCTCGGACATTCAGTTTCCTTGGCTCTCTCAACTGACCCGTCTCAACCTGAAATCCATGTTAATACGGGTGCGGCTTATTTGTGCTTTATGCGTCGCGTTTGGAGATTCTTTGGCGGTCGTGGTTTCTCTATAGTTCCTCCAGTGGAAGTGGAAAGGAAAGCTACGTAGCTGTTTGTAGAAGAAACATACCAGCGTCCAGCTGGGCATCTTCCATGTCCATGAGTATTTCAGGGCGCCTAGGGCCTGTGCGCAAAGAAATGCTAACCAACTGGACCACAAGGAAAAAAACTCCGGCCGCAGGGCTAACGAACATACATGAGACAAGTGCATCATAGGCGAGAAGGGAGTAAAGTGAAGAATGAAAGAGTTCTGTTCATATATGTTCATATGATGCACTTGGGTTGTACTTATATAGGGCGAAACAAGACACAACAACCAGTAGAATCTGTAGAGCAGAAAACAAACAACAAAAGTAGGAAAAATACATACAGAAGCAGAACAGCAAGAATAAAGCAGCACAAACTCAAGGCTTGAAAAGCAACGGGCAAAAGCAATTATATAAACCAGGGAAACAATACGCCACAAAAGGACAAGAAGCAGGAAAGTAAAGAAATGCATGAGAAAAGCCAGGAAGTGCAAGACAAGCGCAAAAGAATCAGGAAAAGCCAGAAAAGCATGATAATCACAGGGAAGCAATGAAAGCAAAGGAAAAGCAGTGAAAAGCAAGACAAGCACCAAAAAGCAAGAAAGGCGAGAACAGTACAGTAGCAAGTAGGAGCAACCACAAAGAAACAATGAAAAGCAAGGGAAAGCCAGGAAAAGCAAAACAATCACAAATAGGCAAGAAAAGCAGGAGAATCATAGAGAAGCAATGAAACACCAGAAAGTAAGGCAACAAGAAGCAGATCCAACAAAACTTCCAGAACTTCCCTAAACGCAACACAAAAAAATGCACTCCTTGTACATAATTCACAGCCCAAAAGAGCATGTTGAGAACTTGAGAGAGGAGGGGGTGAACGAAAGGTAGCAGGCAATCACAAGTAACCCTGGTAGAAGTCCATGACGGCGTGAACCGGCGCAGGGGTGATTTGATCCAGGGAGGGGGGGGGCCCCCGACGAACAGAATCAACTCTTACAGGACCAAATTCAATGCAGTCCCAACTCCTGATTGTAATACATTTTTGCTAAAGCAAGGAGAACTCAGGTAGCTCAAGCTACCTTTCGTGATTTAGAATGGTTGAATTCTCAATGAGTTCACTCCTTTCTGTGTACGATTCAGAATCCCGGCACGCTCACACGCTCATCTTGCAGAAACCCTTGGCCCTCCAGCTGGTAAACATCTGGTGATGTGGGAAAGGATGGCCACAGCAGCCATGCCTTGGTGCTTGAGGTGTCTGCACAAGGTGCTGATCTAATATAAATATAGCCTACAAGCATTTTGGTAGCTTCGGCAAAGACTGACATGCTGTATCGAATTGGTCGTCGTTTGAGAGTGACCTTTACAATGTTCCAAAAGAAAATGTCTGTTGGGCATATTGTCGTTCAAGTCTGATTAAACTACCTGAGTGTCTGTCGCACACGAGAACTGGTGTGGCCAAGCTTCTTGACAACCTAAGGTCACATATAACAAAATTGTCTTTGTTTGCATTGCCTGTCCTTCCATCGGAACAGTTGAGATTCGCCGTGACTTCATGAGCCTTGTGAGTGCTTCACAGCGCCCTTTCTCCAACATTTCCCACAAACCGGTGGGCTCAACGCAAATGCTGCAGGGCGGATGCCATCACATATTCCAAAGTTGGTATGTCCAAGGAGGCCAAGGCCTTCTCTCCTTCAGCTGTCTGAGCCCGGCCAGTCATGGCAGCTTCTGCCAAGGCTTGGCCAGCGATCGAGGGTGCATTGCTCCCGTTGGGTGGTGGGATGTTTAAAATTCCACCCTCATAGAGCTGTCGCCAAGCTTCCTGCACTGTGATCTTTTTCGGCTCAACATCTTCACACAAAGAGCTCATGGAGCTCCAAGAGCCTCGGACGAAGTGATCCTCAGCTTCCGCTTTCACCAGCCATCCGAGGGACGGATGCTTCACCGGCATCCAGCCATCCTCTCCAGCCACACGGCGCCATTGGCCGGTGGCGTCCCAGTCCGCCAGCGCCACACGATCTCCAGGCCTCGCATGACGTAGCACCGTGCTGCGCATGCAGGGCTCACGTCGCAGTGCCACCAGAGGTGAATGGAGCACCACGTGGATACAACCGCCTCAAAACAGAGTCACGCAACAGGAGAAACACAGGCAGCGCACGCAACCGTTGGTCAGGCCTTCCAAGTGGATTCATCATGATTCATTGGATTCTCATGCGTTACTGGACTCAGCTTAAAATCTATGAAACTCTGAAACTCTGGATTGAACAGGAAAATGAGAAGATGTCATGCTGAATTGCTTTCACTCGAAGTGGGCCAAGGTGCTGCCTGGGGCTGCTCCTGCGCCACCTTCGGAAGAATCTGCGACAAAGTCTCTCTGCTCCTCCCAGGTTGCCACCACAAGGTAAGAAGGTACATGTTTTTTTCATCTTTTTTCTCTCTCTCTGTCTCTCTCTCTCTCTCTATGCCCGCCGTTCGTTCCAACTAGGACCAGAACGACAAGCGTCGACCCTTGTTAACAACACCCACCAGCTTTTTCAAATATGTCCCAACAATGTTCCTCGACTGCCTTGGGCAATGCAGAAGTATCTGGATGTTGGGAGATCTGTTCGTCTGCGGCATGAGCATGTGCCGTGTCATTGGCCATGTTGAAGTGCTCGTGAGCTCGGTCCTTGAGGTCCTTGTGCTCAGAAGCTCGGTCTTGGTTCTGAGCATTCATCTTGGGCTCAGCATCGTGCTGATGCCTTGTCGCCTCAGCTGCTGAGCGCGCTGGTTTATCAGCTTCAAGATTGTGCCTCCGCTCATTGGCTTCATCAACCTCTGAACTTCTTGGCTCCTTTGGTTCATCAGCAGCGGGATCTTGCCTTTTGGGCTCGCTGGTCTCAGAAATCTCATGCCTCCTCAGACTCCTTCCTTCTTCAGCACCTGTGGTTCTGGGCTCCTCAGCAAAATCATACTGAGCATGCTCCTGTGTCGCCTCGAACTCTTTTGGCTCTGGCTGTTGTACTGGTTCTGCGTGGTCTGCTTGCTCTGATGGCTTTGCAAAGTGCTTCGCCACTTCGAGCTGCAACGGTCTTGGTAATCGTGCCACAGCCTCCTCGGTCTCTGTGGTCTTCCCTGAAAACCTGGGCAGCCCAATCACGTCAATCAATCTGGGACAGGGACGATGCCAAAACACGACTGATTGATAAAAAGGGAAACGTATGCTGTAACTACAAGTAAGGCAAAAATCAAGAATCAGAATACCAATACATAGCAAATCAAATCAAGACTTGGAAGCCCCGGATGGAACACCTCAAACTGGGGAAACATAAATGCCCGTTGGTTCCACATCCTCAAGAACGAAGGTGACTTGAGGTAATTATAAATCAATTATATATATATATATTATGGTTGGTGCCCGCATGCTTGAGGCTGGTGATTCCCACACTTTTCAAGGATCTCCAAGGGACAAATCCAAGAGCGAGGCCGTTGCTTCCAGTGCCATCTGCCGTGCAACCATGCCCTGCAAGGATTGGTGTTGGGGATCGGCCCTGGCAAGCAAAAGCAGCGCCACGATCTCGACATGGTCCACCGCAGTTGCCTGGCATGCGTGTGTGGCATGTATTGATGCAACAAAGGCTCACACTCAATGTCCGTGCTTCCACCAAATTGAAATGGTCTAAGCATGTTTTGACCCACCGCTCGTGAGACCAACATTGGTCACACTGTAGGGAAGGTAGCTCCAAAGGCTTATGCTTCCCCTAGTGGCCCCCACTCTAACTTCAAGAATTGGCCACAAGGCCATAGAAAAAAGGCAACAATTTCACGCCAAAGGTGGTCATCTGTACACCTCGTCTCCTGACGGCCAGGTTGGCACCAAACTCTCCAGGGCAGCACAACTCACCCATGTTCACCAACGGATTTCCACACAAAATGCTGCTAGCCAAACGCCCAACAGTTGGCCTCGAAGATCGGTGTCTCGCCCAGCTCGTCTGGCACGTTGGGGCTCACACCGGCAGACAGCAGTCGGGCCACCTCCTGCGATTGACACCCAGCTGTTGGAAGATCCAAGGGTCTCTACTACAGTATGTGTGTTTAGGATGGATAAATCTAGATGCTCTTCTCCGGGATTCTTTAGGCCTCGTTATTCCACTGACGGATTCCTCGAAAGATGAAAAATGAAGAGCTGTCAGAGTC